ATTTTCTGGTGACTTACTTGACGTGGGCAATGACGGGGTTACTGCTCCACGCGATGTCCTCAGGCACGGTGACGGAGTACGAGCGCTCGGTGAATTGCGGGTAGTTGTCATTGTCGTCCAGGATGTTGACGAGGACCGTCGCCGAGCTGGAGCGCCTGTCCGCCAGCGGCACGGCCATGTCGGAGGCCACGATGACCAGCGAGTAGCGCTGCACCTTCTCGCGGTCCAGAGGCGCGCGCGTGGACACTGTGCCTGACTTGGGCTCGATGCGGAACGTCTCGGGGGCGCCCGCCTCGCCCGGCTGCTCGCTCTGGATCGTGTACTCCACCTCGGCGTTGCGGTCGATGTCCTGATCGGTGGCCTTGAGCGTGACAACGGTGGAGCCGACGGGCACAGACTCCCGGATAGACGCCTCGTACTCGGGGGCCTCGAACACGGGCGAGTGGTCGTTGGCGTCCAGGACGTTGATCTGCAGCGTGGTGGTGCCGGAGCGCGGCGGGAACGAGTCATCCACGGCCGTGACGCGGAAGTAGTGCACGTCGACGAGCTCCCGGTCCAGCCGCGTGGCCGTCGTCACCACGCCGGTCTTGGTGTCGATGCCAAACATGCCCTGCGAGCGCGCGTCCAGAAGCGACACCATCGAGTACTGGATGGGCGAGTTCTCCGGGTCGCGTGCCTTGACCGTGGCCACGACGGCGCCCTCGGGCCGCTCCTCCAGCACCGAGGCCAGGTACAGAGCCTGCTCGAAGTACGGAGACATGTTGCGGAGCTCACGGCGGACGCGGTGCGCGATGTCGGAGTCGTTGAACTTCTGGTGGTGGAACACGATCTTGAGGCGGTGCTCCGTGGCGGAGATGAGCCCGCTGCCGCCCAGCTGCGGCCTCGGCCAGCTGTGCTCTCCCAGGCTGGTGTTGCAGATGAGCTCCAGGTGCACCGTCACCTTCCACAGCGGCTCCGCGATGCACACGCTGTCCGCGGCCACCAGGTCGCCCGCCTCGAACTCCATCTTGAAGCGCGGGTCCGACACGTCCACATAGCGGACGTTGCAGTTTTCCACCTGCGGAACAAAGAAATGAGCCTGTCAGTTTCAGTTGGAGGCGAGGAAAAAACACTGTAAACAAAGGAGCCCCAGCTATTTATCACTAGAAACACGTGATGAAACTCAGTTCCTCAAGAGGCACACCTTGTAGGATGGGCATGTCAGACACTTTACTAGTCAGTCAGTCTGGACCACGGAAAAAAATGAAACGCTAACGACGCAAACATCTCAATGCTGCTCCGCATTTAGGCCGGCGGCTGGCGAGTCTCATATCGCAAATGATCCCACACCCACGTCCCCCCACGTCTCCTCACAACCCCGCGAACAGTTTCTGCAACGCCATGACGCAGTCGCCCTCGTGCCCCTGAAAGATGGGCAATTGTTGATACAAAACCCATGCAAGTAGTCAGCAGTAGCCTACCGCCCGGTACCGCCCGCCTGCCTATCTGCTAATCTGCTAAAGAGCCTCTGTCAGCCGGACCTTAATGCCGCACCTGGGCAGTGGGCCCAAGGCTAGGCTCGGGGCAGACCATGCGTGCGTGCCTGCGTGCGCACAGTGCAGGTCGGTGAAGGTGCGTGCAAAGTCATTTAGCGGTTGGCTAGAAGCCCTCCAAGACATTCTGTCGGTCAGTGCGCGCGAGGAGCGCGAGGAATCCGCGCCGCTCTCCTCTTGGCACCTCGGCTCCGGCCCGGCTGGCAGCTCAATGCCCCCGACCCGACGCGCGCTTTGCCGGACTGACGCCTC